TGAGTGACGGAACCAGTTGAAGAGGAATGAATGAACGAATGAACAGATGACTGAGGTGAAATAGCAAGTTGAATGAATTGAAGAAGAAACGAACGACTGAATTGACTGACTGGCTGACTGACGGACTGACTGCTTGGCTGAAGTAGTGAGTTAATAAATGAATGAATCAACGAATGGCTGAATGAATGAGGCACGCTTAGATGAATGGAGACCCTTACATGCATACAGGCCGGCGAGACAGAGATGAGATATGCACCAGCGGGCTACAAGTTCTCCTTGCCGGTCGATGACATCTTGAACGCGCAAGGCCGCCTTCCTGACACTAGGGACGCTAAACCCTAAGAACTAGGGTAGTTTAGGGTGTTGGGTTTGGGGTTGATCCCTCGATAACTGGAATTAGTGTGTGCCTTCCTCGTCGTTGTGCTTTTCCCAAGATGTTTACTCAGAGACCCTCTGACCCCAATCTCGCGCTAAGAAGTCCCGTCCGGTCCCTCGTCAGCGATGTTTTATCCACCCGTAGGCTCCAATATAATATAGTAGATTATGAAATAGACTACCATCTATTACTACACCCTACTATGATATACTCTAAGATATTCTACTACACCAAGTTCCTTTTTAGGATGACCTTATAGGATCCTAAGTATAAATCACAAACAGGAACTCGTAGTTCCGAACTACTATGGAGCCTATGGGCATCGAACTCTTTTTGCCTCCGCCTCCAGGTGGCTACTTCCAGGCAAAAGATGGATCCAAAGCAGCTGACTGGGAGTTACCCGCCAGATCCGCGGTGACAACTGGGATGTGTTATTGTGAATTTCCCTTGTAGTCTTGTCTTGTAGAGGTATCTATCCAGAAATAACTGCCGTGGCCCCTCAAGCCTTAAGCTTTGCCTTGAGTCTGAAACCCGGAACTCAACCCAGGAACAGGGAAGGTCAGCGACGGTGGGATCCTCAGCTCTGAGTGCACGGATAGCACTGCTTGGCATCCGTGACCCTCTCCCGACAAAAGTCAGACTCCCGTTTAGGGTTTAGGGTTTAGGGCTTAGGGTTTAGGTGAAGTTTGTAGACTCCTACCACAACCACGACTACCACCAAAGTGTAAGATTAAGGGTTTGAGGGTCTACTGATGTTTGTTCTCAGAACTTGTTCACCGGTGCATGCTTGGCGAGATCGCTTCGCAGTCCATGCTAAGGCCAGAACATCGTGATCCCAGGACCCGAAAAGTCGGGTTTAGGGCTGAGGGTAAAGCAAGGGCACTTAAGGAGGGCTTGGAGGATGGAGGGTCGCGGGTTTGGGGGCATGGTGGCTTCGATGCTCTGCGGCCGCGGCAGGTCACATCGGAAACTAAATGAGTAGTTCTCTACATTAGGGTCCCTTTTAGGGTCCATTTTATAAGGGTGCCGTATTATATTGGGACCTAAAAAGGCACCCCAATCTAGAAAACTACCCAAATGCTTAGGGCTTGGGGCTTAGCGGCTAGGCAAGATCACTCCTTGTATTCCGACGCGGTCGCAGTTCCCCCGCCTTGCACTTATAAGTTCCAGCGATGACATCCAAACTTGGTTCGATATGGTCCAACATCAATGTCCCGACATTGTACACAGATTTGGCAAAGCCAAGTGGGGGTTTCCGAAAATAGGGGACCCTAATATAGTACCCTAAATAATAGGATCCCTATTATAAGGACCCCCAAATAAGGTACCCTAATTTTCGGAAACTCCCAAGTATGCAGGCAATGGGAACTCGTCCCTTCCGGTAGCCGTTTGAAGAACAAGTTCATTCGAGAGCGCCCTTTCTAGTGGACGACTTTGTAATCATACAATCGGATAGACGTATCGAGCATGCGTGTGCATGCGTGAGTGTGTGCGCGCATGCATGCATGCATGCATGCATGAATGTATGCATGCCCCCAGACACACATATATATATATATACAAATGTATATATGTATATACGTATATATGTGTGTATCTATTTATTTATTTAACTATGTATGTTTTCTTCAGTGTTCGTTGAAACTATAGTTAGATTTATGTCTATGATCGTGTGTACTTTTTCCTGTATGTTTATTGACTTATATATATATATATGCCCATACATAATTGTACATAGTTGTTCATGAGAGATGCATACAACCTGAATACATCCTGCATTGCCGGATGTCCTCGTATGCTGCGAAGTATGAGAATTCAAATTCATTCCGTTGCTGTTCGGTCTTCGGGTTCGTCGTCATCAAACGCAACGCCGAGAATTATTGGAAGCTAGAAATTCAGAAACCTCACCGGCTGAATCCTAGTCACAGTCCTAGTCCTAGCTTGAGGCTACGGCTACAATATAAGTCATCTCAAAAATCCTGGATGCACACCCTAGCCCTAAAACCTGCACCCTAATGGTTGACCCCAAGCTCCCAAACAAAAACACACATCCAACCAAGAACCTTACACTCCACCAGCCCAATCCCTGAACCCTGCGACTAGCCCATTGGCTACCTTAAGAGAGTCGTAGTT